AAAAATATTTGCGAATTACCAATAAAAGATGAATTGCACTAGTTTTGCACCATTTAGTTTCAGGGAACTCAGGAGACTTTTTGTTTTTTGAAACGATTGAGTGTCTCTTTTTTTATGCATTAAAAGAAATGGAAAAAAAAGGGCGAATTCAAATTGATAAAACGGAATTCTCCCTACACTTTCTCAAAAATTATTGACAGAATATAGATTTGTTGAATTCGTCATAAAAAATTTGAAAACTGTAAAGAGAACAAATTGTATAGATGTGCTTTTTTTTTGTAGTATTTTTTTTTTGCGCTGTTCAATTATGCTAAGTGAATAAATTAAGATTGAGATCAAGTTTCAAATTTCGGTAAAAGATCATAAACGAGATGAAAGATAGTGTCATTGTATTGCTCAATATAAGATATGTTATCATTCCATGTGACCTTATTCAATGAATCCATAGTAAATTTTTTCTTTTTTTTTCAAATAAAGCATTCAGTGAATAATGATTCATTCTTATTTATTTACTTTTCATAAATGAAATAAATGGCCATTGGAAGAGGTAGGAATTATTGTTAAACTATCATACATAACAGAAGAAAGTTTTTCTCCTTTTTTTTTTTCTTCATCCTCCATTCCTGACGAATTGTCACAACCACTCATCAATATTGTCTTGTTCGGGAAAAAAAAATTGGACGAAATTCTCCAATATATCATCTGTTCAAATGTATTTCTAGTTGGGTATATTTTCATCAATAAATTTAAATGTCAACTGTCATGATTGTGAGGTAGATCGATTTATTTTTACGTTCATTTCCATCACCTTTTCAATGATTATTTCAGAGTAAAAAATAGTGCTAATAATTTGAACGAGAAATTTTACAAGTCAAAAATTCTTTAGGATGAAAGGTTTAATCAGTTTTTTTTTTGTACAGCATTTGTTTACACTGTGGTTATCATAGCAATTACCTTTATATTGATGTATTTTAATTCGTCATTCATCGTGATTATATTATACTTCGAAACATTACTTCAAAAACTAATATTGACCACATACAGTAATATTTATCTCTATCAAATTTAACATTTTAGTGAAACGAAAAAAGAGTAAGTAAATTACAAATCTAAGTATCCACAAATTCACAGAAACATAAGGTGACATTTTAAGAGAAAAGAATTCTGAAGGATATTCGAACAAAAAAAAAATGACATTGAAAAATTACTGTTAGTTATTTGCATGTTTGTGAATTTCATGTAAAAATTTATAAATTTATAAATGTTTATAAAATTTGTGCAAACATAAATTATTAATATGTTTATAATTTATTTATAAGCAGCAGTTTATGAATTTTGCATTAGTTTTCTTTTTCGATTTATTTATTTTATATCGTTCAAATTTTGATTTGTCGAACTGTTGAAAATTGGATGGATTTTGTTTATCATTCATCTCATGCTGAAGATCGTCTCAAAATCTTTTGAGAAATTAAGATGGAACAACAATTATCCAATGCACACCGCTAGTTGTAATATCATTTTACTGAAAACTCTGTGAATTTAATATTGAATTTATAAAATTAAATTATATATTTAATCATTTTCGATTTATCTATAAAGAATTATTCTATCTATCAATAATTCCTCTTGTTCTATCTTTGGTGAATCTTTCCGTACAAAAAGAAACAATTCATTGATTTATTTTTATTGTGATATGATGTCGTCATCTGATTAAAGCAAACAACAGAGCTACTTTTTTTTTTTGACTCCCAGAACAAATTTTGATTACAGCAATTTTGTAGTTGATCATTATCATACATTTTTTCCCCTCTTTTTTGTGTATGTAAAAATTGCTTGCAAATTTACTCGAGAGTAATTATGTAATAGGCATTCTTGACAAATTATAAATGCTTGTCAATAACATCTTATCCAAAATTTTGTCAATGTACATAAAATTCTGTAATATTTGATAGTTATTGCTATCAAATATAACAGAATTTTATGTACATTGATAAATATAAATATTGTTGCGAGCAGTTCCAAGTTTTCTTTGAGTAAAATTGAAACTTCTTGATAAGATAGTATCAAGGTATGATAGTAGCATAATATAATTGTGATAGTGTAATATGATATAATAGTTAAATTTGTACATTTAAATACAATACAAGTGCCTTTCAGAGTATTAGAAATTTTTTTTCTTCCATATTCTTTTGCAGCAGATATAATAAAGTAAAAAATAAAGAAGTCGTCGGAAAGAAAGGAAATTATTCAAATTTAAAATTCCATGTTTAATCTGTGTGAGGTGATTAAAGTCATTAAATTTTGATTTAAAAATCTAGGCAATTGTTAACATTCATTTTTGTATCATTGAACAATATCATTTCCGTTATGCGTCAAATCATCAAAATTTGAAATGCAATATAAATATAAGGGGGAAATGATAGAATTCAGTGAATCCGACTTTTTTAGTCCTTTGCTATTTTTTCATTTGTTTCATTTTGTCTTGAAAAAAAAACCATAAAGTAGAAATTTTGATTATCAAATGATGATTAGATATTATTTAACATATACATAATAAATGTTCTTACTGTAAGGTCCTTTCCTCATATACTCAAAAAAAGCGAAGTTTAAAAAATTTTTTAGTATAGATTAATTTATATTTAAGATATTAGTATATCTAATGAAAATAAATAAAACTCGTATTTTATCATTCCTTATTTTTTTTGTCGTTAGCGTTGCTGTCGTTTGATGAACGTTAAATTTTCTACGCAAATGCTATCTTTCCAAATATTATTGTGAAATTTGTTGCATAAAATTATATTTGATAAAAATAAAACTACTAAAAAATAAGCAGATAAAATATTTTTTATCGTTATAATTTTTTCTTTTTTTTTCTTAGCATTAGCATTTCAATCGTTTAATGAAATATATTCCATTTCAGTGTTATGCTCTTTACTGAATTACCATTGTAAATTTGTTGTATAAAATTAAATTTAATAATTTTTTGTTAGCATTAACGTTTTAAATTTTTGATGAAACATGTTCCATTTCTATGTGTTCTGCTCTTTTCTCAAATAACACCAAATTCTGCTTCATAAAATTATATGCGATAAAATTTAATCAATAAGTATGATTTTTTTAAAAATATTTTAGCAATAATATTTATCTGTTAATTAATGAGCATTGCGTTTCTATGCAGCGCTCTTTGCGGAAGTATTATTGTGAAATCTGTTGCATAAAATTTTCATTATAATTTGGAAGATCAACAAAGTGAAATTATGGATTATCTTGCTCGTATATTATGTGATACGGATGAAATACAAGTAAGTTATGCTTGCTAAGCTGTTATTCTGTTTTCTTATTAAATGGAAGAAATATATTACAGTGAAATTGTTAATCAATATTGTAAGCTATTCTGCAATTTTTTTATAGCGCCGTACTCATGATTATTTCTCAAAATTTAACTTTGATTATATTCAAAGTTTCAAAAAAAAGACATCAATTTAATCTTAATGGAAACAACAGATCCTTTTTTTTTAAAAGAAATTTTTTATAAACTCATTAAAATGTTGCCTTTGTCGGTTTTTTTTTTTAAAGTTGTACTTTTACACTGTAAGCAAATAGTAATGTATTTTAGCTTACTTTTTATTTTAAAAAGTAAATAAAATATTCATTTTACTGATAATTCAATCAATGAATAGATAACAAGTGATTAGACGGCTGATATTATAAGCCTCTTTCAGCACTAAATATACATAGATTTTTAATATTCTGTTAATATTTCATACAATTCTTTAGTAGAGTAAAGTATTGTATGAAAAATTAACAGAATATTGAAAATATATGCATATTACAATCAAATAGATTTCCTAAAGCAGTAACCATAAGCATTGCTTTCTTACTGATCTATTTTCGTTGTTTATAATAAATCTAATGATATCAAACTAAATCTTCGTGCAACATAAGATACATCTTTTCAAAAAAGTAGTTTAGCATTTTTAAAATACTAAAAATTTCCAATAATTTTGAATTTTTACCTTGCAATATAAAAGTTATATCCTTTCAGATATTTGATTATTCATTAAATAGCACCGTACCACATACTACGAACTGTATTCAATCATCAATTCTTGTCCTTATCCCGTTAATATTTTTGATTGCGTTTAGTCCACTTGTTTTATATGACCTCAAGAAAAGTCGACATCCTCCGTTAGAACTTTATTCACCAACAGTTGCTCGAATTGTAAGTTTAATTCTCCTTCCGCTACTTATTCTCTCTTTTTTTTTAAATTCTATTGCTATATTTTTCTGTTTAGTAGTATTTTAAAAACCAGCATTGATAAAAACTCAAAAGGATAGCTGTGTCATTTTTGAAGTTACTCCTATCACTGGCAATCCTGTTCGTTGGATTATTAAAATGTATGATAAGATTTTGGCTGGCAGTTAGCTATTCCCTTACTGTATGCATTATGAACTTATGAACTGATAATTTGTATTGCTTTTCTTAGCAATGCAGCTCTTTTATTTGATAATATGAAAATTCAAGTTTTCACGAAATTAAGAATTTTTTTTTTATAAATACATTTATTATAAAATGATTAATGAGGTAATAAATTATAAACTCCGGAAGTTTTATTAAATAAATTTTAGATCATCTGTTTTATGATGATAGTGAACCGTTTAACTGCAACAGCAGTCAATTTAATAACATGGTTCCGAACACCGTCAATGTATCAACCGTACAGCATAATGTCATGCTGCTGGCAAACAACAACCTGTTGCATATGTTTGCTGTTACTGATTGCTTATCGTAATCGTGGCTTAGTAACTTCCAGCGTTTTGTTCAATTTTTGGCTTCTTACTGCAATTTGTGCATTTCCGGAACTTAGACGTCGATCTTCATATGCCGAAGATTTTAACAGAAATCAGGTTAGCAATATATCTGATAGAAAGAAATTTCTGATAAAATAATTTCCATTGTTGATAGAAACATGATGTTCTGTTCCTATAACGAGAAAGCAAAAAGCTTTTTAGTTTACTAGTTGAAATTGGTTTAAAGATTTGATGTTCTTTTTTTTTCGTTTCTTTTGCTGGAATTTTGTTCATTTTTTTTTTTTTTAGGATGAACAGGATGTCTTAATGAAATATGTATTGTATATAATTTACTATGCGTTCATACTGCTCGAGGTATTCTTGTCATGCTTTGCTGATAAGCCAAGATATTGGGTGAAAGATGTAAGCATATTTGAATTATGTTATCCTTCCTAATCAGATATTAATGTGTTTGAAATTTTTTTCAAAAATAATCGTCCTAAAATCCTTAATTTCAGATTTATTTTTGTAATTATCATTTCAGAAGAAATTACTATCTTTTAATTATTCATTTTAGGAGAAGCTTTGTCCAGAAGATAATTGTTCTTACCTAAATAAAATAACATTCAACTGGTTTCACAGTTTGGCAGCACGTGGTTTTCGTAGACCGTTAGAAGTTAATGATTTATGGCGATTGCGTTTGCATGAAGAAAGTGAAAATTTGATGAAAAAGTTCAGTCGTTATTGGGTACCAGCGGTTAATGGTATGTTCGTATATTTCATACGTTTTTTTTTTTTTTTTGATTTAATGTTATAGTTGTTAAATATATTCAATATATTTCAAATTTTGAACAGAATGGAAAACGTCATGAAAGATGGACATTGATTTGCTATCATATAGGTTTAACTTAGTTCCAGTTTTTGTTCATTTTCTTTCTTTAAAATGTTATTCACACATTCTCCAGGAATTATCGAGTAGACATTGCAGATATAAAAATGAGATACATTATGAATTTATGTGAACTTTGTTATTTCATTTTTACAATTTTTAAAGAATAAAGACTACCCGGAAATAGTTTATTAAATCGTTAGGGATATTTTTTTAAGTGTTGTTTTTAAATTTTATTACATTTAATGAAATTTACTTTTCAGCATACTATGAAAAGAAACGAGCAGTGGAACGATCAGCATCACTTAGGGTTTCTTGCTTTTTTATTCAAAAATTTATCTTCTTGAATAATTGTACTTGTAATTATTGCTTCATAATTACCTTTCCTAGGTTGGTTTTATTTTAGAAACTTGGCCCGAAAGCACAACCATCGTTATTGTGGGCACTTGTGAAAACATATCGCTGGACCATTTTGGCTGGAGCTGCGATGAAATTTATATTTGACATATTAAATTTCGTTAGCCCACAACTTCTAAGGTCAAAATTATTTATTTTTACATTTTGCTGGAATTGAATTGATTCTTGAAAAAATTTTCACTTACGATACAATATCTTGTAATGTTATGCTAAGTATATAAAGGTTTTTTTTATTCAATACACATCATCATAAATTTGGGGTATCGATTTACATAAAGCCGGTTAATGGTTAACTTTTTGACTGGAAATGTTTCAATATTCCGCATTTTAATACTAAACTAAGTAAAACTTCGCTTATTTGTATTGGCAATATAAAATTTTCGTAGCTAAGGCATAAATTTATGTATCATTCAAATGATTTTTTTTTAGCGCATTAATCTCATATATCGAAGACAGGAAACGACCGCTATGGATGGGTATTGCTATATCATTTTCCATGTTTACTGTTGCGCTCGTTCAGTCAATGGTTAGTTAACTGTATGTATCGATTGGTATGTGAAGTTATTGTTTATCTGAAATGGATCGAAAGAAAGTTATGAGAAATATAAAATTATAGCAGATCAAAGCATAGAAAAAACTATGAAATATTCTGGAATAAATCTAAAAAATTCTTGGGAAAACTGAAGAGATTTCTTGTCTAAATTGTTTTAAATAATTTGCAGATTCTGCATCAATATTTTCATAAAATGTTTATGCTTGGTATGAATGTGCGTTCTGTGCTAACAAACGCTGTATATATCAAGGTATGTCATAGTCCTCTTTGTTTTCAGTATAATTTCCTTTTATGACTGGTTTAATTCTGATTGTTTTGGAAGAAATGAAGAAAAAAATTTTTTCTTCATGCTCTTAGTTTAAATAGTCATTTGATTTTTTTTTTTGAATATATCAGTTATATTTCATCTAAATGTTCGAAATTAGTTTTAGCGTGAATTTTTTCTATAGGCATTAATGTTATCCAACACAGCTCGAAAAAATCGTACTGTTGGCGAAATTGTAAATTTAATGTCTGTGGATGTTCAGCGTTTTCAAGATATCGCGAGTTTTATCATGCTTTTTTGGTCGGCTCCATTTCAGGTAAGCTTGTCCTAAAAGAATTTCACATTATTTTAAATCAATGCAATAAATCACTTTTATGTGAAGAATTAATTCTTAAATTTGTCTAAGGAACTGATCAATTTCTGATTAATCAATCGTTTCATTACTTCTATCCTATCATCTTCTCCATAGATTTTTTTTATTACAGATATTGCTAGCAATTTACTTCTTATGGAGATTATTTGGTATAGCAGTTATTGCTGGTCTCACCGTACTTTTCGCTACAATTCCCTTAACTTCATACATTTCTTTACGAATGAAAAGCTGTCAGGTATTCGTTTCTAAATCAATGAAATCAAAGCAGTCAAACAATTTTCTGTGGTCATGAAAAAATTTGTTTAAAATATTTGCTGTTAAATGTTTATATTAATATCAATTGATGTTTGGAAAATGCTGCATCCTTTATTTATTTAGTTGTAGAAATTCTACACTGTTTATTAATAATTTTGGGAATGCCGTACGGGTGAATTTCAGGGAAGACAAATGAAATTGCGAGATGAACGTTTGAAGTTGATGTCAGAAATTTTAAATGGAATTCGAATAATTAAACTCTATGCTTGGGAGAAAAGCATGCAGAAATTGGTTTGTTTGCATGATTTTTGATATTATTAATTTTGAATTGTTCAAAATCTGGCATAATTAGGATTTGTTGGAGTTTTCAGGTTTTGGAAATTCGCGAGAAAGAGATTGCCGTGTTGCGCGAAATTGCACTTTATAATGCTGCAATATCGTTGACTTGGTCATGTGCACCATTTCTTGTTGCCATCGTCACTTTTGGCTTGTATGTGAAAATTGACCCACAGCACAACCAACTTACACCTCAGGTGAGATAAACTTCAGATAAATGTAAATCCAAGAAATGATTTGAAATTCAGTCAGGATAAACAATTTGAGATTAATTCATCTTTGTTAAATAACTTCAAATTTCAGTATGAATTTATCCTAGTTAAGTAAGTTGGGATTAACTCAAACATAACTATCTTGAAATTAATTTACTTCAAATGCATAACTTGAAACTAACTTAAAATGTATAAATTAGTTCAAAAGTAGAAGGTAAAGCAGTGAATAGAATGAATGATTGTACTAATCATACTAATGAAATCTAACTGTTATTTTTAAACGCCCAATATTTGCTTCTTCAAGTATCCAAAACATTGGAAACTGAATGTAAGCCAGTTGAGCACCAAATAATCAAAACATGAACAAAAAAAAAAAATCACGCAGCATTAAAATATTATTCGATTATGCTTACATTACTGATAGCTTTCATTTTTGGTTTAAATTTAATTGTTTTGCAGGTTACATTTGTTGGTCTTTCACTTTTCAATCTAATACGTTTCCCATTGACAATCTTTCCGTTGATATTCAGTCAAGGAACACAGTGCTCGGTTAGCAATACCAGACTGAAATCGTTTTTATCCGATGATGAAATGCGTCTACCTGTAATAGATCGATTCTCTTCAAACGGTTAGAAGTTGTAATTGTATTACATTTTTTTTAAAAATTGTTCTTCCAAACAGTAGCCATTTTTATTACATTTTAGCTTTCAATCTGACGATCTAAAAACAAAAATTGATAAATCACTCAGATATTTTCATTAACCTTTGTTTTATTATTATCGAATAATCTGCAAATGTCTTATAGATTATGCCTTGTGGATACAGAACGGTAATTTTTCTTGGGATAGTAATAAAACGACATTGAATGACATCAATTTGAAAATTAAAAAAGGCGAGCTTGTTGCCATCGTTGGGAAAGTGGGCAGTGGTAAAAGTAGCTTGCTATCTGCTATTTTAGGCATGTTTTGATTTTTGATAGTTTTCTTTGTTGTTTTCAAATTTTTACTTCTGCTTGCTCTTTCTTGTTGTTTTGAAAAAGTGAAAGGATTTCAATGTAATGTATGAATTTTTGCTTATTTCTACAAAAAAATTTAAGGCGAAATGGATAAATTGAATGGTACTTTGGATATTGTTGGGTCGATTGCTTATGCTCCGCAGCAACCATGGATTCAGAATTTATCATTGATGGATAATATTTTGTTTGGTTCACCTTTCAATTCCGAGCGTTATAAAACAGTGATTGACGCATGTGCATTGAAACCAGATCTCGCAACATTACCAGCTGGTGATCAGACTGAAATTGGTGAAAAGGTACGTTGAGATTTTATGCTTAATTTTGATATATAATTCTTAATTTGGGATCATGAGAAAATTTGTGTACTGGATTTCAAATGAAAAAAGTTTGGAGTGTAATAAATCATGTTTGTTTCGTTTTATTTTTAGGGCATTAATCTGAGTGGAGGTCAAAAACATCGCGTAAGTCTGGCACGTGCTATATACGCCAATTCAGATATCGTTCTCCTGGACGATCCGCTGTCAGCTGTTGATGCCCATGTTGGACGGCACACATTTACCCGTGTCATTTGTTCGTTTCTTGCGATTCTGCTGATCAGTCATTCAGTTCTTACATAGTTATGCAAAATGTTATCACTGTAGAAACATTGAGTACAGCCATTTCCAGAAAATCGAAGTCATTTACAGAATAAATGAAACGAATCCGGAAACGGAATACATAAGTTACAAAGTCAAAAATGAATTCTTTAAGCATCTCAAGCTGGCTTATTAGCCAAGAAAACGCGTATTTTGGTAACACATGGATTGCATTACCTGAAGTACTGTGATCGAATTGTCGTCATGAATGGTTGGAACTTTCGAAATTTAGTTTTTTTCCATTCAGATTTTGTTTCATTGTTTTGTTTGGTTGACCACTTAAGATACTAAAATGAGCAGAGTACATGATATTTTTCAAACCAACATGAAGATAGTATTAATAGATGGCAAAATTACGGAAGTGGGCACATTTCAAGAATTGGTTCAGGCTCAAAAACATTTCGCAGAGTTCTTGGAGGAATTTCTTATGAACAAAGTAAAACAGCGAAAAGAGTCACAAGATGAAAGAGACTGTGAGTTTTATCTTAACTTTTATTTTGAAATATAATGCTAAGATTTATCTCATTTTTAAGTTCTGGAAAAGTTGAAGAGCAAAAAGCTCAAATCCATCTGAACTATTTTTTGGGAAGATATATGTCACTTTTGTTTGTCTATTGTAAAAGTGATATCTGTTGAGTTCGTAATATATTTTCACTTTCCACATAAACTCAAATCAGATAGATTGAATTGAACAGTTGACGTGTCATAAGTCTTTTTCGGAAGGTTGATGATGAGCCGTGTTTAGCGTGTGGTTGCGCCATTTCCGACAGTATTTTGAATATCATGGCAGTCACGATATTTGAATATGTTTTCAGCAGAAGAAATGGAAGAATTATTAAAAGATTTGCAAATTTTCAATCCGGAACAACGCAAACGTCTGGGAAGTTGGACAGATAGCACCTTAACTGTATCACCTGTTGAACAAACATCAGTGCAGGTTGCTATAGTTCTTTGTAAGATTGTTTCTGATTATCCCATGACTTCAAACTGAACACACAATTATAGTAGATTTTTCAAAGGTTCGTTTGAAGTGACGCAAGAATCACCTAGTGATGTCTAGTAATATAACTGTCGATAACGTGGTCTGCTATCAATGAATTATTTTAGGATACTACCATCGAAAGCGTTGTTGCAACAAAAAGAATCAGTAGCAATTCAGTAAAAAGCGAAATTGATGCAAAAACAGATGGTATTCCATTGTCTACACAAGTGGCTAATAAACCAGCTGTACCAAACAGTGATGAACGGTCGAAATTAATTGAAAAGGAAGGCATTGAAGTTGGAAAGGTATCTATGGAAATCATTAGGAAGGAAAATATTTTTGTTTTGGTGGAAGGTGGATGTAAGAAATTGTCTTTTAGTTATGCCACATCATGCTTTAAATCTGTAGTTTATGGTTTTGCATGATGAATCATTCTTTGGTATTTTTGCTGCAATTGATTTCTTGTTTTTTGTTAAAAAGAATTTTATTGCCTCAAAAAAGTAATTAAATAGAAATAAATTATAGGTCAGAGATCAGTAAATTGAAAATTACAAATAGATCAATTGGTGAGGTTAGATGGGTGAAATATTTCTCAACAGATTTGAACAAATTATATTTTTATTGCAGGTGAAATTTGCAGTGTACCTTTTATATATTCATGCTATTGGTTATGGTACAACAGCATTCTTTATTGTCATTTATATTGTTTCATCTGTACTCGGTGTTTCATCCAATTTATGGTTAGCTAATTGGTCCGACCATGCTAAGAAAACAAACATCACGGAAGCGGATAGGGATGACACAAATTGGCGTTTAGCAATTTACGCAATACTCGGATTGGGACAAGGTGTGTTATTGCAATAAATTACTAGAACATTTTGAAGTCTAATCTATCTTTGCGTATTTTTCAATTTTTTTTTTCATTTCTCTGTCTTTTCCCTCCCATTCCTAACTTTTTAAAATCTAATCTTTTATTATACACAAAAATATTCAAAATATTCAGCTGGTCTCCTAACCATAAATACTTTTCATTCTGACAGCTTTTTTTCTTCACCTAATAATACTGTTAGCCGCAATGGTTTGTGTTGGTTCAATAACAATGGCATATGGAATGGTTTTTGCAAGTCGAAAATTGCATGAAGGAATACTACAAAATATTATGCATTTACCAATGGCATTTTTTGACATAACTCCGCTCGGACGTATTCTGAACCGTTTTGGGAAGGTATTTTTTTTCTAATTGTGTGAATTATGATTTCATTAGCAGACTGTTAAACCGACTAAACTTCAGGTTTATATGAAATAGTAGTTTTTTTCTTTTAAAATGGAGTTGGAGTTCAAGTTCGAATTTGATCATACTCAAAGTGATGATGTTTTAATTCATACTAATTGACTATAACAATATCTGTGCAGCAAGAGAAAATTAGACGATGTAGTGTTTCATTTCTTTTTTGAACAGAAAATTTTATTTTTTTGATTGTTCGTGCAATTTATCTGCTTGTGGAAGTGGAGAAGAATATGGAACTATTTCCTTTGGAATTTATTTTTTCTGATGACTAGAAATCTTTGAATTTTATGCTATGGATTTATCCTGCGTTTAGAAGTCCTCATAATCGTTTAGGAGTCCTAATAATAGTGATTAATAAAAGATACCAATGTTTCTTTTATAATTATTCATGTTATGTGCACCTTTATTTATTATTTGTTTTTGTTAAGCTTCAGAAGTGCCCATGTATATCTTTGTACTCTTTGTTTTTTTCATTCGATAAGAACATATCCTGTATTTGATAGATGGTGAAGGAGTTTTAACGTAAACATTATTGCAGGATATAGCAACAATGGGATACTGAAATACCAAATCTGTTGATGAGCTTCTTGACGATTGTCAAATTTTTTTCCATCTTTCTAATCATTATTATTTTGATATATTCTGAATCATTTTGGCTTTTCATCCTTGCGCTTTCTTCAGTTTCTCCATTATGCTATGAGTGAGATACTTGATGATTAATTCAGAAATTTTTACATTGTTAAAAATACCATTTAACAATTCAGACGGAATTTTACCACTCCCTTTCCGTATGGACGATTCCAGAACACATAACTGTGGCAAATCTTTTATTTTTTTTAATCGATATAATAATGATATAAATCCTTGCAGTAATACTTTCCGGTTTCTCTAAGTCCTTATTAACATAGAATTATAGGTAGTTTTTCATATCAATTCTTGTGAATACACTTCACGGTCAAGTATTATAATAGAAAATGCAGTGATGATACACTCATCTGTTTAACAAAAAGCGTAAGTACAAATAATCATTTGAACAGTCACATGACGACGATTCATTTGTTCCATTTGGTGCAGGAAATATATTTAAATTTTTTCATGTAATGGTTTTCATACTAAGGATGAAGTACTTAAATATCGTTGTAAAACAATGATACTTTCGATTTTGGATCACTTTGGCATTGAAAATAAAACCCGAATATCACGAACATGTCAATTTTTTCAGAAACATGCGTATTATTTTGACAGGGAAGGAAATAAATTAGCATTGCATGACAAATCAATCAATGCATTACATGAATTGTTCCTTCTTTCAACTTGACGAAATTTCCCTTGTTTTCTTGATATGTTTTAATTGTTCTTGATGTGTTAATTTTTAATTGTCGTCATTTCTATATTTCATTGTAATTTCTACATTTCTTTTTTTTATGTTGCAAGAAGTGAAGAATCATTTGCTAAATACTTTGAAAAAGTTTGGTCTATTTAGCATATGTTAATTATTCAGCTAAGTAGACTTAGGTTTGAATTTTTTTAAGTTTGAATTTATTTTTCCATTGATTTTTCTCATATATATTTAATTCACAACGAAGAACAAATATATGATTTTTATAGCTTTTGGAACTGTTTGATTTTAGTGCCCAAACTTTATTGTATTTTTCACAATAAAGGATATTTAGGTTATCACATTCAAGTTAATACAATTAATCTACTATAATTTAGGGAATTCTGATGAATTTGAAATTTAGAACAATCCTCTGTTAGATGGAAATATTAAAATTCATTCTCGAAATGGGTAATCATCATCAATAAGATAACAGGGAAAATTGCAGGATATAGAAATAGTGGATGCACTGTTGCCGCATACATCTCATTCATTCATATCAACAGTACTTGTTGTTTTAATGACAACGGCTGTAATCCTATATGCTACACCGATGTATTCAATCGTCATACCTTTTCTTGCTGCTCTTTATTTCCTTGTTTTGGTATGCTTCATCAAAAAAGGAAAATTTTTTTTTTTTTTTTCTAGAGAGAGAAAGCATTGCAAGAAAAACATATGCTTATTATAATAACTCTTAATGACACATACAAAACATGCTTGGAAATAATTCCTACAAATGCTCTTTTTTTCTTCTCATTAGTTTATTTAGTATGTATTTTGTAAGTATATTTTATGCAAATGAATTGATTATAATAATAATTTAGTTGCATGCATTCTTTGATAAAAGCATGATATAGCATTTTTTTTCTTTTTTTGATCTTTGTAGAAGAAAAATTTAGCTTTTTGAAATATTATTTGAAAAATATGATTTTCATTTGAAGCATATTTTATTTTTGTTGGTGATGTTAAGAGTATGAATTTTTGTAAGTTTTAGCAGTTATCCAAGATAGAACATTTTTTTTTCTGTCATTCTAATTATTGTTTGCAATATTTTTATAGTTTATTTTATATCACTTATGAATTAATGATTGTTTATTGGTCTTTTATTTTTCATCAAACTAATGTAAAATGGAGATTTTTTTTTTCTCGAAACTTATTCTGGATCGCTTTTTTTTGCACATATTAAGATATTTTCTGTTGCTGAAATGGCATCACTGCAGTTTGCATGTTATCATCATGATCATACTCCATATAATCACTGGAGAATGAGGACGGAATTAAACTTCACTACACATAATCGTTTTAGTCATAAGTTCCATTTAGCAAATTTTTTCCAAATTATTGTAGCGTTCACTCTCCTGTGAATAGCATGGCTGCATTATGTAATAGCATCATAGTATCAATAAATTATTTGTGTGAGTTTGTTGTGAGGTTCACAAATTTGCATGTTTTTGCATGTTTGCAGGATTTGCAAGATCTCGATCAGCGTTTACCATCATCATTGATCACTCTTATTGGATGTATTGTTACCGCTTTTATTATTATGATTGTACCGGTACTCATGACGCCACAAATTATCCTCCCCTTCGCTCTTATTTCATTCCTAAATTTTATGTTAATGGTAATTTTTCAACCCATACTGCATGAAAAATGGATATATTAAATTCCAATCCAAAAATAGCTTATTTGTTGTCAGTGCGGCGACAGAATATATTATCGTTTGATGTTGTTAGTGCTAATTTTTTTCCATGCATTTTAATTATTTTTCTACAAAAAAAATGATTTCACTTATATAACAAATTTCGGCATTAAGTTTATCTTTCCTTCCGACTTTCGCTTATAATTATGCTTATTAGTGAACCTGCAACAGATGTAATGAAACATTGTCAATCGAGCAGAAACTTTTTGTCTTTTGTTCATAAGAACTTGATTATTTGATCGATATGATATTACATTAACATATTTCGATGTCAAATTTCGTAAAAATCAACCTTCTTTCCATGCTCTAAAAAGAGTATAGAAAGCTTATCTGATCCATACATTTAGCATAGATGCGTCTTATTGTAAAGTACAAAAATTAGACAAAATTTTCATTAGAATTTACGGAAGATTTCTCGATCCTGTTCCAGCCATTCGCTTTTGTTTTTTGTTTCTTTTTTTGCGCTTTTGTCGGAGTTATTGCACAGCTAAAGATTCAAATTATTCCTATGCGTTTATCCTGGAAAAATACTTTGGATTGGTCTTGAAGTTTAGATATTCGCTTGTTGAAGATTGAAGAAAATGACGATGTTTATTCACAAATTGATTTATTTCATGTTTTTGTTTGCTTTTTATCTCCTTATTATTTCAAATGCATTTATTTTGGCATGGGATTTACTGCATGCTTAATGTAATGTACGGAAAAAGAGCATTCACTGGGAATGAGATGAAATGATGTGGCAGCGTAAAAAATATGGGATCTGAATGTGGTTTATACAATACTGGAATACATTACGAGTTCAAAATTCTAACTTTCGCCATGCTTACACTCATCAGCTTGCATGTTATTATCTGATTTCAGAAATTTTGAAACCGGAAAGTATTTTGTTAAACCGTAAATTTTTGTTACCAAAGAAGATATTAACATATTGGATATGTGCAGTATACATCATTCATTTTCAGCGTTTCTACATTTCAACGTCGCGGCAATTGAAACGTCTTGAATCTGCTGCTCGATCTCCAATTTATTCACATTTTCAAGTTAGTTTTTTGGTCGTTGTGAAGAGAAAGGAAAGTTTTGACATGGAAAAAATTTGAAAGACTTTTCTCTTTACCTTCCGAAACATTGTTAATTGGCAATAAGAATCTTCATAATTAGAATTATCACATTGACTATTGTTAAAAATATATATGTACAGTTATTTCTGAAGACAAAGCTGTTTTAAGATTGAAAAGCAATGGAAAGGGTAATCTTGCAAGATTATCCTTTTCCATGCTTTTCTATGACATTTTTTTTTAATTTTCGGAGAGCAAATATTTTGCTAGCAGACACCAAATCTCTCAAATTCATTGTGATAAATTCCAGGAATCGATCCAAGGATGTGCCTCGATTAGAGCATATCGGTGTATGGATCGTTTTATCCATGAATCTCAAGATCGTCTCGATAAGAATATTGTTATACAATATCACTCATTGGTTGCCAACAGGTGTGAGAAAATTTAATTAACATATTAGTAAGGAAAAGTTTTTCAGGTATGCTTCTGTTTCCTTGAAGTACTTGTCAAAGAAAATGATAACATGCAGATTTAAAATATATTTGAGTTTCAGATGGTTAGCAGTACGCCTGGAATTTATTGGTAATCTTATCGTTTTCTGCTCGGCTTTATTTTCAGTATTCTATAGAGAGAGCGGTTCGGTAACAGCTGGTTTGGTTGGATTATCTGTCGCATATGCGCTTAGTGTACTGTTTTGATTGTCATTTTTTATTTTTAAAATTTTTTAAACTGTGAGCCTAGTAATGAAGAAAAATCTCATAACTGTCCCGATAGTAAGATATTTTGATTTTTCCGAATGATATTTTTTTTTTCACTTAACTCCACAAGAACAAATGATAAACTAAAAACCTATTATTAGAAAAAAAAAGTTGATCCTATTTTGATAATTTTTATGTAATCTTTACTGGAATTGCATATTTTTTATTTTAGATAACACAAACTCTAAATTGGGCCGTACGTATGGCAAGCGAATTGGAAACAAATGTTGTTGCTGTTGAACGTCTCAGGGAATACACTGATTTACAAACTGAAGTAGGAAGCTTTATGTAACTTTTGCGATTAAACTAATGTATTTCCAACAGAGCTGATATATTATATCGCATTGTGGAAATGGGAGTAGTCATTAAGACGTGTATTTCAAACAAAAAGAGTGATGGTGATGGATTATTAATATCTTTTCATGAATTTTTAAACAGAATATGTTCTGCAAGCTTTGCATTAAAATTACATTAGTCAAATTGTAATTTTAATGTTATATTATTGCTTACTGAAATTATGTTATTTAAATTTGTATTATAATATGTTCATACCAGCTCATATAATGCTTGTGAAAAAAAAAAATTCCTGAAGTATTACCGTTAATACGTAATGAATGCTTCCAGGGTTTAGCGAATGAAAACTTAGCGCATACACCACCACGAGACTGGCCAAGTAAAGGACAAATTGTTTTCGAGAAGTTGAAGATACGATATCGTGACAATTTGGAATTTGTCTTGAAAGGAATCAGTGCAACGATTCATCCAGCTGAAAAAGTCGGAATTGTTGGCAGAACTGGTGCAGGTCAGGCATTGCATTAATAATTCTGTATTCTACTTTGTAAGATCATATAAACATGGTATATAGCCTTAACTTAAATCTCCGGATTCTTCAATTACTCTTGTAAAGGTATGCAATTAAAAATCCTTGATTCAAAGTCAAAACTGAATCCTCTCCTGTTTTCAAAAGAAAAAATACATTAGTAATTATACAGCAATTAAAGGCTATCACCTGAATGTGTGATCAATATATCCATTTCAGGTAAGAGTTCTCTTACACTTGCTTTGTTTCGCATTATTGAAGCACATTCGGGTCGAATATTAATCGATAATGAAGATATTTCAAAAATGTCGCTGGCTGATCTTCGTTCAAAATTAACAATTGTTCCACAGGTATCATTTTTTAACGACTGATTCAGTTTTGTCACTTAAATTCATCAAGATTAAATATTTTCTTAATTCATCTGTACTTTATGCATAACTTCTATTGTGTCATAAATATATTGGGAATTTCCATGTGTTAATTGCGTTGAATGAAGGATCCTATTGTGTTTTCTGGAACATTACGCATGAATTTGGATCCATTCGGTCATTTTGATGATATCTTGTTATGGAATGCACTTCGAACTGCTCATTTGGATTCACTGGTGCATTCGTTTCCCAATAAACTGGAACATAGATTAAGTGAAGGCGGTGAAAATATTAGGTAAGAAAAATATCTTCCTATTACTGAATCAAGCTTTTCAGACTGTTATAAATTTTGACCAATACATATTACATATATTATTCGGAAACTTTCAGTTTCTATAAGTTTGATTTTCAAGTTCTAAAAATACTACAGTTGTGCAACCGGGGAATAAGGGATGTGGTTGCAAGGCGCATATATAATTATATGATGTTATTGCACGAATACCTAGAAAAATTAAACAATTTTGAGGACTTATCAAATCCATAAAAATGAAATAGAAAGATTTACTTCCATTTGAAATAAATGTAAATATAATTACAAATATTTGATATTATTATGATACAATTAATGTGCATACTAGTGAAAATAATTACTGTTGTTTTAGTGTTGGACAGAGACAATTACTTTGTTTGGCTCGAGCAGTACTGCGTATGAGTAAGATTTTAATTCTGGACGAAGCAGCAGCGTCTGTTGATATGGAAACAGATGCGCTAATCCAGAAAACGATTCGTGAACAATTCTCACATTGTACGGTGCTCACAATTGCACATCGCTTACATACGGTCATGGATAGTGATAGGTTGACTTTATGTTGCTATTTTTTAGTTGGAAATAATTTTTTTGATTTTTGAAATGACTGAATGTAGTTAGAATTTGTTATCTCCTATTAATTTCAGGGTTTTAGTACTTGAAAATGGTTGCATTCATGAATTCGATACACCAAGAAAGTTACTTGATGATCCGGATTCACTATTTCGTGCAATGGTAAAAGAATCTGGACTGTTGCCTACTAAAGAACATTAAAATATTTTGTTCAATTTTGCATTTTAAAATGCTAGATCTCTGACTACTGGAACTAAATTTGTATCATCATGCAATAAGCTGTTTTTTCTTGCTTACTTATCATTTATGTACTACTCTGAAATGAATCCAAACAGTTCTCAGTAATTAAATTTGTTGCCTGAAAAAGCCAAAACCTTGTACAGTGTACAAGAAAATTGTTTGACTGTTGCTTCAGTTCTAGATAATGAGATAATTTTCTTTTTCTAATATAGCCGTCACTTCAATTTGATTCAGTTAAAGTCTTTTTGATGATTTACTTGTTCGCTTATGTATCAGTTTTCCCATCACCCATTCTATGTTTTGTACGATAATTTGTTTATTCATTTATTGTCATAGCTATATTTGACATGGTAATCTTTCATTCAAAAGCAGTTTTTCTGGAATGTTTGCTGGTAAAAAAAAAGTATTTTCATAATTCAAGTCGCATCTACATCGAAATGGATATATTCATAGATTATTTGCAGCCTTTGGGATAAATATGAAATATGTTGAAGTAAGAGAAGGGTGGAAACTCAATAAGGAAGAAATTTGATAATGTAAAATTATGAAAGGAAAATTTACAAAAAGGGAAGTGTCAAAGAACGATTTGTACTAGGTTTCGTCACAGTTTTGCCAATTAATGGTTTTGCAGAAGTTTGTTTCAGTTTTCGGATTGATGAGAGTTAAAATATCTCTAATACAAATTAAATCCTCGAAATATTTCGACATCGTGTTCTTAATAGTATCACTGGTCGTACAAAAGTATTTTAGAATAACAGGTTACCATATGTACGTCAATATCTAACAACTGTAACAAATAAAAGAATGATTACAAATTGAACAGAGAGATGCTATAATACGTGCAATATGCTTCTTATATCATAAGAAAGAACAAATGGCCTAGTATTTATGAATAATTATCCTTGTCCATTATATTACGTGGATTTTTCCATCTTACAATTTGCATTATACGATCTTTCTATATAATTCATTTTTCCATCTTCTTTTTGAGATCTTCCTCAACACTAAGAGACTCCAACAATATAATCGTGATTTGACGCATATGTATTGCAAGTAACGTCATCTTTAAAAGTCTTGTCAACTATCCCTAATTATAATGAAGTTCTACATTTAAGAATAAATTGTTTTATACTAAATGAGTAATCAAGAAATATAGCTATTTGCTAGTTAGCTGGAATAACATATGATGTTGAAATATCTTTAAATGTGATTAATAAATTGAACTTTTGCAGCATAAAACTTTTCAAAGATTAAATAACAAATAGATTCATAATTGAAAATATTAACGATTTTGTGAAATTTATTTGAAAAATGCAATAAAATAATATTTGATTGTTAGGAAATGGAAGAATAAACGAGGAAGTAATGACAGAACATTGAAATGGTATAAAGCAAATAGTATGAATTTTATCAATGCATGAAGGCAAATTTACTGATTTCTGATTATGATTTATTGTCCCGAAAAAATTATCAATATCAAAAAAGAAAAAAAGAGACAAACATTTGATGTTGATAACATTCGAAACATGCTGAGGACGATTAGGACACTTCGAACTTAAAGAACGAAAAAGA